GAATTGTGCGGCTAAACGGAAGCCATTTAAGGGTCGGCTTCCTCATAAATTTCCGTCCATATACTGTCGAGACAACATGAGGTCTTTGCTGTTTGACGAAAGCGTCCTTTTGGTTAACCGTTCACAGAAAACCCAGGGAATATTTCAAATAGTTTGTGACGAGAAATCGGTCCTAGAGGATTTAATTATAACAGGTAGGCTACTGCAACGAAGTTCGTTCGAATTTGACATTTATATTGTCCCTGTTTTTGCATACTGTGTGCTCCCTATTTACGGCAAAGTTTCGGGGCAAAGATTTCAAAACTTCCTTGATCGGATAAATCATTGTCAAAGTCGATTACGAGGCCTCTAGTGTGATCTAAGCAGTGCGAATAGAACTACATAGGTGTGAAATCTGTGTACGCTTAAGATCGCTGAAATGGACAGCCAGTTTCGTAAATAGATATTTTACCGAGGGTAACAGGCGGAAAAAACGCTTATTTAGTTCCTCTCCTCTTCTGGAGTCATTTATACCGGTTTATGGTTCACGCTGTCGTGTGATTCATCTCTTTGACGTGTGCATCTGCAATCTGCATCCCTAATAGTAAAAAAAATAAAATATGAGTGACTTAAACTAGTCAGCATTCATCAGATCTCTGAATGAACTGGATGAACTGCAGCACTGGATCCCTGGGTCATGAATTCAATCAATAACGCACGTGGTGGTCAAATATCTACCAGAACAAAGCACGCGAGCTATACTGACACATGGCTGTAAGTTTCTCATTCAGTGATGCGTCCAAAAGAATCAGGCCGGTATAGTGTATATTATTTTTGATAAAATAAATGGGCCAAAGATAAGTAGGTTCTTGTCAGGCTGTTACAAGGGACAGAAAGCTGACGAAGAAAAGGGCTCTGGGATGCATGCACGACTGCTAGATTTGTTCCTAGTAAGCACACTGGGGAAACTTGTGAGCACACTACTGCATCTCACAACGGAAAGACTGTAAAACAAACACTTCCCGATTGTAGTTGGTTTACCATAACAATGAAAATTAGATATGGCAACGCCGTTTCTTCCTGTCATGTCGGAATCGAGGGCACTGCTATGAACATATTCATCGACAGCAACGAGATCTTCTCTGAAGGATGAAGGCCAGTGAGTCCTTTTCGTACGGATTGTGTGTTATCAGGGACGAACTAGATCACATTCGCCAATATCCTCCTAATGTATCCTGATGAAAAATAACACTGATACAAAAACCTATTCTATTTCAGATCGCCCCAGTGATCTCCGGCTTTCCATCTATCCAGAACTAACGGCTATTGATAAATCTGTTAGTAGCACGTTACAAGCACGACTTGAATGGCGTGGCGCAACGCAACACAACGTCCTTCAGCTACGTGAACGTTTCCCAATCAATTGTAGTTTCTTCGCTATGAAGAACGGCTCAAATTCCACGAGGTACTTTACTCACCCTATTCGGTTCGCAGAACTTCCTCAGGGAGAGCTGCACGTGAAATGTACTTGTTCGGCCCTCAAATTAACGAACCAGTTGGTGAAATTTGTTTTCAGCCCATCTGTTTGGCAGAGAATATCGTACAGCAGTGATTCAAAAGAATCCTTGAATTTACCGCCTTACCGCGCGGTTTCACAGCTTCTCGGATGTCGTAAACCAGCTGGTCGAGTTTCTTTTATTGGGACAGTGTTGAGGATTCGGATAAATCAGTTATCCTCAACGGAATTGCAATCACTATGCCCAGGATATGAACACAACATAACAGTGTATTTTAACGGTGAGTATACGGTTTTTGCGCTGTACGAGAAACACGAAATTGTTCTGGGTTTTTCGCTCCTGCGGTAGCCTTCGAACATTAGTGGATATTGAATCGACGTTTGTTTGCATCTTCTCCCCACTCAACTTTGAACACCAAAAGTCACCACCATTTTTGCTAATTTTGTGACCTAATTTCATTCTGTGTGCAAGGAACTCAAACAGTGTCACGTGCAAAGTCACGTGCGAAAATTCACCTGATGCTTTATAAACGTCTACTTGGATGGGGTGACCCTACACTGTGCTAACGGGATCTCCTACCAGTTGATGTCAAATCAAATGAGTAAGAAGTCTGGCCAGTGTCCTGGTTAGTGACTCAAGGACCTCAAGGTGTATATCGATCACTTCAGAACAAGTTGTGGCTCTAATGAAAGGAAATAATTCCATAGGGCTTTGGGATGGAGACCATTTGTCAACTACTTTGGAATCAGTACTATCAAGACAGGGTCATTCAAAATATCTTGCTCTCCTGGGGATTTGTTTGATCACATTTTCCGCTTTTTCGCTCAGCTAATGTGATTTCAGGTGGCGTAGTTTTGTTTTACCATACAGTCTGTATGAATGCTTTCAGAAAATAGTATCCACTACTTGCAGAAAAAAATTCAAGTTGTGGTCTGTACCACATGTCGTGTGATGGTTTAATCACCTAAATTTCCCAGGCAGAGTAAATTAGACCTAGTAAAACTGCTGTTTGAATCCAGCTGCTGGGCCGAACGTACAAAGCCTCCTACAGTGCCACTGTTTGTTTTTTAGTCTTGTTTGCTGGTGGAATGAACCTACTTTTTCTGGGATTGGCAAAAACCATAACTACAAATGTGCTCAGACGTCGGCCTGAATAGCTGCTGGACTTACCATACTGATCCCGATTGTTCCACCTAATAAATTCTATAGAAATTGAGGACCTTGCATTGCCGATATTTCCGGTGACTCCTCTAAACCCACACTCATCCTCGTGAATAATGATGAACTGATGAACTACTAATCGCATCTGGTTGAATCCGGTGGGACAATCTACACTGTCAGTGGGTTACTCCAATGAGCTAGCATGAATTGATCAGTATGCATAAAAGCCATTACCAGTGAACTCTGGTGCGGTGGTCATTGCAGCCTTCCTGGATGGGGACCCCGATTCGGGCTACATCAGTGGTTAGAAACATTGTCAGACATGGCCCAGACGTGCCCTCAAAGGCGCTCGTGCATCCAAGCTGTTACCTTCAGTGTATGGCCCTCTTCAAACCCCCCACTGAACAGTCCACTGACAGACCTGTATTTATGCCCCAATTTTTCAGCTCCTGCCTTCAATGCGCAGCCAACTGCCCCAACTTCCCAAATCATCAATGAACGAAAATGTGACAGCACTGCACAAGTACGCGGTTATAACAGCTGACAATGATGATGTTGATGATGATGATGATGATGTTGATGATGACGATGATGATGATGGTGGTGATGATGCATATGACGCTCATATTATGGCTCCACTACACAACCATTCATTCGAACAAGTTCCTTATGCTCAAACTCTATTTGTATTTTACTCCCTTTTCGCTATATCATTAGGCATTCGATATCACTCGTTTGCCCTCCAGATTGATTTAATCCACCAACATAAGCGGTACTCACCAACTTATCTTTAGTATTATTACCAATATATAATGTTGCAGTAATCATGCTTGTAATTTATATCTGCAACCGTCACATTACACTTTGATGTGAACATGGCTAATAGTTGTATTATCTCCCCGATAAATTAGAGTTATACTGATATTCGAAATTAGTTATCCGACCAGCAGTAACGAGTAGAGGTGCACGCAAACTAGAAGGAAACATAAGTTCCGCCTTCGTGAAAGACTTGAAAATAGCTGGTCACTGGAGGTATGCACAAAGAAAGGGACAATCTTAGTCACTTTTAATATAACTAAAGTCGCCTGGATGGACATGATCTTGTGAAGATAAAACACAACCAGGCCCGAGAAGAAGACTTAATAGGCGTTCAGCCTTGACCAAAAATGATTAACATCAATTTTTGCGAAGCGATTCCGTTCATCACGGACTTCCCAAAACAAGGTTGTATAGGCGGGAACTGAATGAGAAGAATGAAGAACGGATGGGCTGTTAAGCTAAACAAAAAAAGGTTAGGTAAGATATAGCATGGAGGTTTTTTTCCTGATAATTTATTACTCATTATTACTTATCACTTACTAAGCAACTGATAACTTTTCGCCAGCCCACCACTCGTTCCGAACTCTTTGGGACTCATTAGATGGCGTATTTTTGATCAGACTAATTTCTTACTTAAACTGACGACATTTTTCGACAAAATGACATCGTTTTCCCTGTATTTTAAAGGCTAGCAATGTAGTACTTCAGAGAACTAAGCTGAAGTCACAAGCGTGATGTGAAAAGCTCAGACGAATTCAACGGTGATAGTCGCTTCACAACCTACAGTTTGAAGGTCACGGTGGGCGAATGGCATTCACGGCAGGTTTTTTCTGCGATGCAGTCTTTAGTTGTTATTTGGGTTACATCAGGTTTAGCAGCAATCTCAGAACGTGGTTTTAATAAGGCCTGACATCTGTGTACGCAGCTCCAGTTCCTCTTGAAGTTGTCCCATTCTTGAAGAAATACAGAGTGATGTCATAACAGTGATTCACTGTGACTAAATTTGGGGGAAATTTACAGGCCATCTTCTGCTAATCCAAAGCTCGAAATCTGGTGTTTCGTGTCTTAAAATTAAAAACCAACAGCAACATTTGCTTTTTTTCAGAAGGGCTTGGTAAACAGTCGGTAGTTTTTTTATTCGGGCGACGCTTCGCTTTAAGCACAAAAGCCTCACCAGACCAAGTGAGCAGGTCACCTATTCGGTCAGGTTTTAAGGCAGACAGAAAACCGATCGGTAAGACGTCTTCATATTAGAGTTGAGTGTTAATTAACTCCCTCCCGCCAACTAGATTGTCGCAACACTCACGAGCTCACAAACACCAACGATGAATTATCATTTGAAGCACCTTGAAGTGGAAGATTAAGGAACCATGGAATTAATTTGAAACTCCCCCAAATCATCAATGCAAGATTTTAGCAACCACACTAACCGAGCCTTTAATTGACACTCAACACTGATCCAGTGCGCTAGTGTGAAGATGTCTTACTGATAGGTTCTCCGGTTGCCTTAAAACCTGGTCAATTTGATGACCTGCTCACTTGGTCTGATAAAGCTTTTGTCTCAAAAGCGAAATGTTGCTCAACCAAGAACTCATCAGATCCTTCTGAGACGATGACTTCTCAAAAGGTTCCAAACGTTTTCTAATTTCGGTTTTTTGTTATTGTTGATCATCATATTGTCAATACAAATGAGGGTGACCTCGATAGTAATGACGCTGGCCAGGATGACGATAACACACTAAGAACTACCATAACAAAAGAACCATCGGGATCACAAGACCTGAGTTTCAGACACCCAACAAGGACCAGTATCTTTCACTTGCTGAACTAATACCGTAACACAAGTGCTTTGAATTAAATGAAGGGTGAACAATGCATAGTGCATGAATGGGAAACGTTTTCTTGCTGAGCCGTTGCTTAGGTACTCGAGTTCTTCTTGTTGTGTGGTCGACACCAATCAGAGAAACAAATCTTAAATCAAAGATTCACTTGCAGCGCTTTATGCAACGTTCGGATATAGAAACACCTCTGGACAACAAACTAAAATCCAGGTAGAAGATAAGGTTGACGGAAACTCGAAGACTGCACCTACCTGATGAGCCCCAAGAGGGGCGAAACCGGTTGTGGGCTGTCGGAGAGTTTTCAGCAAACTTATGAGTGGTTTCCTTTATAAGTGCTTCGTGCACTTGCTTGGAGTTCGGTTCAGCGTATCAGTGTTTTTTTTTCACTATTTCATTATGGCAGCACCGGATGTTCGTATTATTGTGCGACCGGAACAGGACTTCTATCTGTTCAATCAAGAACAACCTGTCCATTTCCGTGTGTCCGCCAAAGACGAAACTGTACAACATGCGGAGATTCTTCGTTCAGTTCGTCTGAATTGTACCGTATATGATCCGAAAGGCCAGCAAGTTACATTTAAGACCAAACCAAATGACACGACAACAGTATACAGCTACGTTTCATTCGCCCTACGAAAGAAGTCATATAAATCAGGTGTTTACAGATACCAATGTCGAGCAATATCCGAAAATTTGAAACTGGAAAAAGTACTGACGATAATTGGTGAGTAGAGTGAGTTGAGTGTTTGTACCTTCACCGTCTTTGCCTATCTAACAGATATGGTCAGAGTGCGTCCGGACCTGCGCAAGTGGCCCGGAAACTGGACTGGTGCTTCACTAGACGCCATCACTACGGCGTGTCGGGGAGTTGAAAGACGGTCAGTGCCTGATGCAATTCAACGGGTGAAAGGGTTTTCTAGTTGATGCAACTGCGCATTCATTTTCGGACCAGAATGGCTTTAAGGAGGAACGTCTTCATCAATGACTTATTTTCGTGTTCAAGAGCGACATATGGGCAATGCATATGTTCCACATTTTGATGTGATCTGATGGGCCCGTTGCTGTTGCCGCTTTTCGCTTTCACGACCCATTTATGTCTGTGCAAGAACACTCGCACATTCAAAGTTTCTAGATTCAGGAATTGTAAAATGTCGTCCCATATGCAGTTCCAGTAGACAAAGATGAAATTTAGTCCTACTCTGGACATTCCAAACAAGTTTGCAAGATATCGCCCGCTATTCGGCTCAGGGTGGAAAGTAAACAAATTTCCTCTTGTGTGACCTGAGTGACGAAGGTGCGCCTCACCAATAAAATTATAACTTGTGTTTACATATCAAGTATCAAGCAGGAAGTCAGCATAGTCACACAGATTTATTACGCACAGGGACACAAGCGGCTCAATCAACTTTCAATGGTCTTTTTTGGTGACAACCATTTTCACTCAAAATATTCCACACTACTTTCCACACTTTCCATACTACTTTATCCCGTAAGTAAGTAAGCTAAAAGCTGGGGAGTCGTCACTCAGCCAACTCGCATTCTGTCCCTGGATCTGCCTCCACTAGGTTGATGATCATTTTTTACTCACACCTGAATGGCAGCTTGGTGAGAGCAAGCTGGCATGCGCATATCAGTCTATTCTCAGGAATGATGGAGGCAGCTGTGCGGTATAGCATAGGAAATCCTGCCATGTGAGGGGTAAAAACACTCAAATGCATCTTCAGTGATTTGTGTAAAACTATATCGTTCGGCTGTTTGGCTGTCTACGGATAGGTTTATGCATGGAGTCTAGCATACAAGGTCACTCGAACAAGGACTTGTGTCAGTTTGTCTGAGGTGATGTTTGTACGCTGTATACCACATTTAGACTGACAAGACCAGGTCTTCCAGTTTGACCAGGGAAGAGAGTTGTCAAGTTCTTGTAGCACTGTACTTTGGCTCAGGTTTTCAGACGCTGTGCTGCTTTTTTGATATACTTGTAATGAGAAAAAATGCTTTCGTATCTGAGTTGTCAGTTAAAAATGTCAACCAGCACTTTCGATGTGGATGCGGGGCACTGTAACCTATGCTCCGCTTATGTTCGTCATGGAAACAAGAAAGAGATTCGTCTTTGTAAGGACCCTGTGTCGGATCACCTTTCCTGAGCCGCGCATGTCCGTGACACCTGAGTTAACCGAGGCGAAAAGCAGCGGCAACTTATTTCCTGTAGATACAAAAAAATTTTCAACGCCGTTGCCATTGATTAACCTAATCTTCTGACGTTCCACAATACTGACTGAAACCTGAAGTAAAAAACGTCGCAAAATTGCAGCATGGCTGGTGTGCGATAGTCTCTTTTGATGAAATTTTTTATACTGATAAGTTTGCATGCGGAAGCTTCCCAGCAGTGTCTGATGGTTATGTAAAAGTAGAACCTTGTAGGGGACAAATTATCGGTAATATGAAATGCCAGGTAGGCGCATAATATTGAAAACAGTGAGCAGATGGGGTTTCCTGCTTCACCGCTGGATAAAACCGGTATCTAAGTGAGACCCACCTAACTTCGATGAAAATATTTAGTTTGCAGAATATTCCTATGGATCTGCGGAGCCTTTCATCGGTTCTGGCTATATTATTGGTGCATTTTCTTTGATCTTTTGCAAGTGCAGCGCTACACTAATTGGACGAGAAACCACTTTACTGCATGAACAAATACAATACAAATTCAAGTTCGAATACATGTTCAAGTAGAACATGAGATTGACGGAAACTCGGGGACTGCGTCCACCTGATGAGCCCTAAGAAGGGTGAAACCGGTCGTGGGCTGTCGAAGAGTTTTCAGCAACCTTGCGAGTAGTTTCCTTTATGAAAACTTATCTTACAATGCGTCAGCTAGGGCATTGGAGATTGGTGCTTTGACTATGACTTTCCAAATAAGGCCAGTTGTCTTACACTTGCCAGGTTTATGGTGCCTGATTTGCTTGTCTCTTACGTATAGACTATTTAACTGTAAATCCTCTTGCTGAAGGTGAAATGTTCATTCCTTTGTCAGACCGGAAGAAAGTGACGTTGATCATAAAGAATCGTGGAAAACAAATACACTATACAAACGAAGTTCATAATTATGTATGCGTTTTGTTATGTTATCTTACAATGCGTCAGCTAGGGCATTGGAGATTGGTGCTTTGACTATGACTTTCCAAATAAGGCCAGTTGTCTTACACTTGCCAGGTTTATGGTGCCTGATTTGCTTGTCTCTTACGTATAGACTATTTAACTGTAAATCCTCTTGCTGAAGGTGAAATGTTCATTCCTTTGTCAGACCGGAAGAAAGTGACGTTGATCATAAAGAATCGTGGAAAACAAATACACTATACAAACGAAGTTCATAATTATGTATGCGTTTTGGAGGGTCCACCCATAGATGCCCTCCGCTTCCAAAGAAATGAACCCAGATGGATCAGTCGAGAAAACAGCAAGTCGGCTGTTGCTCTGGAGAACGTACTGTACGTAACGGAGGAAGCAAGCATTGGTTATTACCATTACCGGTGTTTTTACAACAAGAACGGATTAAAGCTGCATAGTGAACTGAGGTTCTCGGTTCTCGGTGAGTTTAGTTAGATTTTTCAGTTCATCATCATACGAACGTCTTATGTCTTTCTCAGTTCACACTAAATCTGGAATTCCCAAGGTTCGATCAGTGGCATCCGTGGTTTATTGTGAATAAGACAGTGATGTAGGTAGAGGTTTTTCTGTGACTGATAATTTACATTCATTCGTGCAAAGTTCAGTTGAAAAATTCCTGTCAGTGTGAACGAGTTACACTCTATAAGTGAATATGTTATAAACGAGTTGTCTCAGAACCATAGCTCTTGTGAGTTGGTGTCGGCGAATCCTTAAAGAGGCAAACAGAAAACGAGTTTTCGGTTGTGCATTAGGGGCCTACATTAAAGAATGCTTCTGACACCGAGAGCTGTTCTGGTTTGCGCACTCCGAACCATCGTTTGCCGAAGAGATCGATGTTTTCTATGACCACTTCAAAGTAGCGGAAGCAGACAGGTGAGCAGCTGGCAAAGGGCTATGAAAGGGATGGCGAGACGTTAGGGTGCTGATTGTGCTGTTGGACAGAAACCACTTCTTGTCTGAGTGAAATCTATGACATCAAGTGGGTCACATACGTTATGCTTGCGTCGTAGTGTCTTGAGTAGATCCAGGATTTCGGTGAGACATTTATCCAAAGCGTCATGTAGGAAATTTCAGATACCCAGGATGGGACACGTGACTTTAAGGTGTTCCGAAAAGGTTCTGTATCGTCTGATGCCCTCTGATAGATTACCGTGTCGCACACTGCCTCGGCATTTCGTATTTTTCCTCTACCAAAAAGCCATCAAAATATCTCCCTTCGCCTCACTCCAATCATACAACATTTGCATTATCCACCCCAATAGACGCTAAATGGCCTGAGTGCAAACTGACTTGAACGTACAAAAGTGACGCGCTGAACAAGCGTTCCCACTGATTCTCTCTCAGTTCAGGACAATTAGTGTAATGGAATACAAAATCCAAAATAGACTGAACTACCAGGTTTAACTGGGTCTCCGCATTTACTGATTAAAGTTTGCCTGAACTCAGAATACACATGATTAGTTTCACATCAACTGGTCATACATTTAGTCTGAGGGCAGTCACAGAAACTGATCATGTTTATTTGTTTTTTCTCTGATGACTAAGAAACACACTAACAAACCAATACAACGTCCATTACCTATTGCTTGACTCGGTAACACAATGATGTTTGATTCAAAAGCGTCACCTTTCTACCTTGACAAGTCCAGACATTCCTTTCTGAACCAGCCACTATATGTTCTTATCATTTTCTGGACTCAGAGAACATTGTTGTTTGACTCGATGACGATCAGCTCGGCCGTCATTCAATCAGTCAGTCATTGTATCGGCTGTAAACCGTGCACCAAGGATACGTTAATTCAAGTTGCTATCGTTCAGGGCACCAGAAAATTGAAGGACGCGGTATATAGAGTCTAGCGTGGAAGGCAGCGTGTGATGGCATTAGTTTGGGAAACTGAGTGATCGTAACCAAGACATGCTCCCTCACTAACTTCGACTGATTCAGTTTTATCTTGCAGATGGTTCTAAACTCATAAATCACACTTGTTAGTTTTTTTTGCAAAGAAAATCACTCGCAAGTTTACATAATATCATACCGGGTTACAGGTAAGTTTCCGATGAAAAAAAAATCGGTATGCAAAAGAGTGCAGCTGTCGAATCTTTGTTACTTGCTTTCGGCAAGAAGGGTCACAGTGAAGCTAGAAGGGCATATTAGGCATTTTCTAAGCTTGTTTAATGGTGCTCCTGAACCTCTTCTGTTATATACTTTGTTTTTCAAACAACACACTATCGATTACATGAGCTACTGCTACGATCACACGAGCGCGTAGTCGTCTCAAAAACAGCTTGTTTCTCAGGTGAACGATACGCTTTATTTTTAAGCGAATCATCTCCATAGAGCAACAGTTAGGAGTTTCGTTGTACAGCATATTTGATTGGGTTTTTTCTTGCTTTCAATGCATTTTAAAACGTCCATTCATACCAACTATCAGACTCGGCGGTTTGCAGACAGCTTCAGCAGTTGCGTGAATATAAATAAGGCTTGCAGCATTTAATGTTGTTCCTACATTGCGCTTCAGACAAAAATCTCATGACTCTCGATATTGATCCAATTGGACATTCGACTTTCGTATACCACACGCAAGGGATTCGGCCAGCCTTCAGGTGCCACACAAAATACCTGGGAACAAACACACTTCATCGACCCATTTGGAGGCTGTTGCACGGGCAGTCTGACTTTGTCATAAAAGATGAAACAGATTACACACAAAGTCAGTCGACTGTGTACCTTGTGGATGACAAGGAAGGGCAAAGCACTTTTCAGTGCAGTCTTCGCGTAAATGAAAAATGCCTGACTAGGCTGCTTATATTCTGGAGGTTCAGTAAGTCTATCTTCGTCCCGTTGTTTCCTCAAGTATAACCTTCTGTGTATGAGCGAATCTAGTACGCTGGGTTGTAAAGGTTGGATACACAACGAACTATACACTTCCATAGCTTCAGAAGCGATGTCAAATTCTTTTGAGAGGCCGTCTAATTCTCTTCTGATTTTATCATCATTTCAGCCGCAGATTCTATTCCTGGTTGGCCAAATCGAGGCAGAAAATTTACGCGGAGGTTGAATTTCTATTCAATTTCGTCATCGATAGCAGCAACATCAGAATCAGCATCTGTAAGAACTGACTACTTGTCGTACAGTGGGTAGGGTTGCAGCCAAAGTTTCGTTCACCGATGGTTTGAAGAGGTGGGGTAGATGTATGTGCATCGAAGGCGAAAGGTGAAATAATTGATGCGTAAATACAGTATTGCCAGTGAAATTTTCTTTGGGGGGATTAGAAGAGTAGCTACGCATTGAAGGCAACAACTTGGATACACCAGTGCCATTGAGGGTAAGACTGGGCCATATGTGACATTGTCTGTAACCAATAATATGTCTCGTCGCAAGTCCATCATCCATGGAGACGGCACCGACCAGCCCAGCTGAGTTTGCTGGTAGTAGGTTTCATACTTCGCTGCCAAGTCATTGTTTAACCTCCATGGCTCTTTTCCCCCTTCGCATCGTTGCGCTAAAACAACCCTTCGATAAACCGGTCCATAGGCATACGAAATACGTGAGCAAGACAGCGCAACCTATGGTGTGTGATCAGTTTACCTATCATGGGCGAGATTTTCTACCGGAAATCATCCGACGTACATCAGCATTGCCGATTTGGTGTTCCAACCTTTGAAGACATCGATGGTTAAACACTGAAAGACGATTGACGTCCTCGGAGCGCAGCCGCCAGGTTTCTGATCCATCTAGTAATATGAACCGCACCGCAGCATTGTAAACCTGACCCTCGACGGATAAGCTGTCACTCCTATGCCACAGGTAATGCAGGTTAACGAAAACTGCTCTGGCCTTCCAAATTTTTCATCGAACTTTCACCTTTGGAAAGACCGCCATAACCAATACAGCTGCCCAGATAAACGAAGTTGTCTACTAGTTCACTCAGCTCATCCGCAAGCATGAGGTTAGGGTCGGAGCACAGCCAGTCTTGCAGCAGCAACTTGCACTTTGTAGGTGTGACGATCAGACCAAACCATAGGGCGGAATTATTTAGATTATTTAACATTGTTTGCATTGACACGGCGTCAGGTCCAAGAAGGGCTATGTTGTCTGTGTACTGGATGTCTGTGAGCGGACGTCCCGGTGGCACTTCGACCCCACAGGCATCGAAGGCTGGTAGTGAGTCTTCCATGGTCGCATCAATGACGAAGTTGAAGTGGAAAGGTGAATGAGGACAGCCTGGCCGAAAACCCTTGGTGTGGTGAACTGAGGCGAGGCTTTCCCTAGACCTTCACACGGCAGCGGGAGTTGGCGTACAGCGCCTTAGGGAGGGTCAAGAATTTATGAGTGGACAGAATCAAAGGCAGCTTTCAGATGGAGAAACAGCCATTTTTGGATTTTGGAAGCAGTATCGTTGTTTCAGAATCTGTCGGACGGTGAAGATAGGACTGATGCATTCTCTTACAGGACGGAGCCCAGCTTGCTTTTCTCGGATATGTCTCTCAGTGTGTTCAGTCAACCTTTGCAGAATAAGACCAGAGAGAACTTCGATGCGAAATCTAACAAGCGGATGCCACGGTGGTTTTCACATGTTGTCCGTGTACCCTTTCTCCACCTTCCTTGAAGTGGGCTGGACACAGACCGTCCGGCCCTGACGTCTTCTCACGTTTCAATACGGATGCTTCATACTTTATGCCCTCTTCTAACAGGCGTTTAAGATTTACATTCAGTCTGCCTCTAGGCAACATCCCTAGAGGTGATGTTGCAGGGAGCCAGCTAAAATGCTCTTCGAAGTGTTCGGCTTATTTTCCAGTTAGCATTTTTGCGAGTGAACTAATAAGCCACATTTTCAATTATCGTTTTACTAATCATTGCCTTCTTAGGGCCAGTCGGTTGCATCAGTCAATATAGGACACCGTTCTCTCCACGTAGCAAAATCCTTCTCCATTTCCCGTACTTTCGATGTCCACCAGAGCTCTCGGTCATTTTTTAGGTTTTCACTGTTTGGCGTTTGGGAGATTTGCGTGCATCGTCGTACTCGTTGTCTGATGGTATAGTTTTCCTGGCACCAGTCAGGACTAGTGATCCCGACGATATCCATTGGTCTCTTGATTGTATCGGAGAAGTCGCACAGAGAGCACTGAACGTGGCCAGCATGGCTCCTTTCACATTTCGCCATGCTTTATCCACGTACTCACTACCAGTGAAAGGAGGTAAACCTTCGCCGTGGAGTTATTGTCAAACACCAACTAAACAAACTATTGGACGGAAAAGTAAGACTATCGTATGCAATTTATTTTTAAAAACTGAATATCCTCACGCGTCTCCGTGAACTTTTATGGATATTCATTGTCTCTTCCGCAATTGTAAACAAACACCGGAAATAGTTCCACAAATTCCTTAATAAATCTCACCTTCCATTAGACGCGAGGCGGAATTACAAGGAAACCACATACTACTCCGCCGTTAATTAGTTTGTGCGGAAAGTTATTCAGCTAGCTCAGATCAATACTGCTGAGCTATGTTGGTTCTTCGTAGATGGCGGATTGGCATGCCTCTGGCTGAGTTTCGGGGGCCTGAAGGGAAACGAACTGTCAGGTATGCACTGAGCACTCCGTGATTGGAATCAGGTTGTGTGCCCAAGTAAGAACGGCAGTCATGATATTTGGCTCGTTGTCCCATAGACATGAGATCTAACTGGGTCCACCGTTGATCTGCAGGTTAAGCGATTCGAACGCTTATACTAAGAGGTCCCACTGCCTAGAATCAGTCGATGATCAGCGCACGACTGGAGGAGTCCCTCTCCGTTGTCTTTGTAACGAGCATCGACTCGGATTCGACCACCCAAATGTGATTCGAAGGAGCTAGTACGACCAAATCGAGCATTTATATCATCCACAAGCATCAAAATGTTAGTGATTTTTGCCCGACAAATAAGCCGGGATAACTCTCGATAGAAAGTATCCTGATAGTTTGTTGAAATATTGGTAGCTCGGGGGAGTTTATTGGTTGTTGATCAGGTGACTGTTGATCTGTTCGCCGAGCTTGGCGAACAGATCAACAGCCACCTGATCAACAATCAGAAAGTATCCTTTTTAGCGTCAGAAATGCAGTTCGTTGGGGTATAAGCCGACACAAAGGCGTCGTTTTCTATGCCAAGAGGCACTGAGCTTGCTTGAGCTGGATAACCGAACAACGCAAAGACAACTGTTTACTTGAATCCACTCCAGTGTAGCGCGTTCAGCTCTGAGACTGAGTGCAACTCCCATATCATCCATTTGACGAATCATTGCTTCAAGATCACCCGACACACGGAGGGAGAAATGGTAAAGAACTGAGTTCGTTCTTGGCCTTCTGAGGTGCATAAACACGCTCGGGTCTTGCATGCATGTTTCGGAGACACATCGTACATCAATTTTAGTGGAGTATAAAGTTTCGGCAAGTATTGACTGTTTGCCAATGTGACAGTGAGTACGGACGTTGAAAGCTTCTGTAGAGAAAGGAGCTTGTGGATTTGAAAGGGTGTTATTTTCTTTGCGCTTAATAGGCAAGAATCGCCGCTTCCATGCATCTGGACATGCTGGTCGCTTTGGGGAATTCCCTTACTGTCCACACACTTCTATCGCGGAGGATATTACGACTCTACTCCCAGACCGCCTCGTACCACTGCCACTCGTTGTACGGGGTCTTGCTGCTCTAGGTCTGACTGCTCCTCTTTGGCCTTCCTGAAGTGTTCGCATCTTTTTGAACATAGTTCCATCCAGCGTAGCCCGCGAGATCATTTCAACACTCAAGTCCGAACAACTGCCTCAAGGTGACGACAGCTTTAGGTTGGGTGATTTTGGCATGCCGCCAGCCACATGTGGGCTTAACTTGTCTATTTCTATTGTCTATTTTTCTAGAAGGAAACTAAGCATAAGTTTCATGGAGGAAACCAATCACAAAGTTGCTGAAAACTCTTTGACAGCCCATAACTGGCCATGGGCTTTCAAAGAGTTTTAAGCAACTTCATGCGTAGCGTTCGTTCAAGAAAATGCGCTACAATATCTCATACGGTATCGTACCAACGGGAACGTGGGGCGGCTTTTGTGCACAGCACTTAGTTGAAGATTATCGTAAAAGAGAGATTCAGCCGGGGTTCAGTTGATCCTCTCATTAGATACAAACGCGTGTGCAAGTGGGTGTATTTCACTGATTGTAGTAACGGTATTTTCCTCAGCTTAGTTCTCGGTCTCAGCCTCCCAAGCTAGCGTTCACGTCAAAACAACCACCAAAGGTGCACAAGGTCTATTAATGCCCAAAACGAAGTCAAGAACAGTTGTACAGCGCTCCGTATATATAGCGTAAGCGGTTATAACTTTCTGGAAGTTCTGACGCGTTCTGGATGCGACATTGGCAACCGGCATTTGGCCAATACTGGGTCAGGATTGGCTATTGGGTCCAGATTACTGACCAATCAGATCTCGTCTTGACGCCGGACCGGCAAGTGTCCCGAATTCTAGACCAGTATCGTGCGGGTCAGGCTTACCGGCCGTAGCAGCGCCTAAAGACGTGCGGCAAAGCGGGATCCGTGTGGAATTCTGCCTAACACTGATCTCTTCTTCAGGAAGGCATGCTGGACCTACATGTATTAACAGGTTATTGGTGTCATTTTACATGATGAGTGCAGTTTTGCTTGCCTTCTGCATCCATGCCGACTTTTTTTCACTCTCAAGACCTTCCGATCCTGTGGCCCCAATGAAGAGAATGATGAGAGCCACAAGAATGAAGCTTCAACATACCCCTAAACTAATAACGATTCAGGTGAATCAAAGTGATGACAGTCCTAACTTCCGGAGAAGTCTAACCAGTAGGTCAGCTAGCGTACTCACAAACAAGAAGACACTAATCGGGATAAGTGAAGGTGTTGACAGTTTGTTTGTTCATAGCATAAGCGAAATTGCAATAACAATCTACAATTGGTTATTTAAATCTTTTTATTACGGAATAGCTAAAATTCAACAGACCCAGTCAATTTGAAGAACGAGTTTTCTTTTTGTGAAGGACCTGAAGTGCAGGGTGAACAAAATGCCTTGAAACTGACTGCAAAGCAGTTGTGCCATTACAACGAGAATACCGTCTAATTCGAGGGCATTAAATCAAGGTCGCGATTCATATGAAACTCCAATGCTACGTAGAAACTCAGACTTGGACAAACCATATGAAGATCTAGATTCAGTAGGGAATGAGAAAGGCCGAACTGGAATGGGCAATCCCAGTTCTCATGAAATACTTATAGCTTTAGGGTTCAATTATTGTCTAGCACTGCATCCGCCGCAGGCTGAATCGACTGCTCAGGTTTTGTAGTAAGGTCAGGCTTTCGCTCACAACTGTTGTGATTTCCTTGACATACTTGTACTTGATAGAAAGTAGCATCAACGATGGATGAGAGGAATCCACAGAACGGGCTGACCTCTGTCCTCACAATGTACATGACTCATATGACGCACCCCAATGAATGACAAACCACATATTGCATTGGGCTCGCCATGAACTGAGCAATATTCCGTACCACAATGCCAGCCAATGACTTCTCTCCAACAGCTTGACTGGTACCACTCTCGAGGAATCAAAGTATAACATCATAGACAACATCCTTTGGAAAGTTTTGAGGATTTCACCCTTAAAAAGGCTTCGACATGGCAACACTCATCCATGAAATCTGGGAGTACGGTAAAAAGAAGGGACAATTCTTGAGTGTTTGTTGAACCTACTGCTCTGACAAATAATGGGACAAAACAGTTCAAAGTTTAGATACATTCTTGACTCAGGAACTCACACAGAAACGGAAAACAATGTGACAAAAGCCCAGACCAGTCACTGCTTCATGATATCTAATGCAGCATTCAAAGTGCGCTGTATCGAAACGTGATATCATCTCACGAATGCGGTATTTCGTCTTGGTCTGCACTTTCGTGACCATCATAATGAAGAGTAGGAGCAGAACTTAAGCTGTACGACATAAAACGACACAATATGTTTGTACGAGAATCTTCGGAACGTCTTGTCTACTTGTAAATCGACAATTGCTCTCAACGAAATGAGCTCAAAGGTATGTAGTTGGGCACAGGCGGACGTCCAAGACCATCCGGTGTCCGATGGAACTGGCTATACTGTCGAGTACGCAGTCACTTGGTCCGTACTTTATTGGAACTACTGCGGATGAATTAATGTGGAAAAAACTACTTTACATGCCTTTTTTGCTACACATGTTCAGTTTCAAGCAGAGACAGAGCAAAAATAGTAACTTGATAAGGATATCTTGAGAATGATAACTTGGAATGTTAATCTCAGGAAAACAAATAATGACTTCAAAGATGGGAAATCCAACTTCAGGGTTGTTACTTTTGGTTTGCTGATTAGTTTTTCTCATAATAAACAAACCGCTCGAGCCAGGTTTTGATGTGTTTTTTTCGAACATGATACCGAAAGGGTACACCCTACGTCAGGACAATATGGATGTTTGTGGGATCAAAACCAGGACGAGTGTACAATTGCACCAACTGATATGCATTCTATCAGAGGCCGAGTAGTGCTCAAACGTTAGCCGTCGTAGGCGGAATATGACGAGAAAGTACATCCTCTTTGGGTAGGTTCACTAGATAGAGCTCCAAAACGAATCACCTAACAGCAGATCGACATCCTTCAGATCTGTACACACAACCGTGGGAAAATTTTAGGCGCACTGGACGAACTGGGGACACTGCACATGTACGATTAGCCTCGATTGAATCGCCCCAGTAGCGTGAGTGTTGCATGTTCTCACCGGTAGCAGAGTGGATCAGATGCGAACCCTGCTTTGCCATCGTTAATGCAGTGCCACCAAGTCACAGCCTGACAATCAAATAATTTACATTCATGGCTGATCATTCGATTGCAAAAAATAATCTCCTCACATTTCACCCGTAATTCTTTGGCTGTATACTTGTACATAATAAGAGGCATACATAAATACATACATACATACATACATACATACATAATACATACATACATACATACATACATACATACATACATACATACATACATACATACATACATACATACATACATACATACCAACATACATACATACATACATACATACATACATACATACATACATACATACATACATACATACATACATACATACATACATACATACATACATACATACATACATACATACATACATACATACATACATACATACATACATACATACATACATACATACATACATACATACATACATACATACATACATACATACATACATACATACATACATACATACATACATACATACATACATACATACATACATACATACATACATACATACATACATACATACATACATACATACATACATACATACATACATACATACATACATACATACATACATACATACATACATACATACATACATACATACATACATACATACATACATACATACATACATACATACATACATACATACATACATACATACATACATACATACATACATACATACATACATACATACATACATACATACATACATACATACATACATACATACATACATACATACATACATACATACATACATACATACATACATACATACATACATACATACATACATACATACATACATACATACATACATACATACATACATACATACATACATACATACATACATACATACATACATACATACATACATACATACATACATACATACATACATACATACATACATACATACATACATACATACATACATACATACATACATACATTGGATATAATTACTTAACCCGTCCAATCGTCTTGGTCCCCATACTGGAAGTTGTTGTGCTCACACAATTGTTTTATTGTGAGTGAAACTCATTCACCTTCAAGACATTTTTTACCGTTTTAATTAGGAGTAGATCAACGCATTCGTGGACAGAATCATGACCAAGATGTGTGCATCGATACGAACGGAATTCGCTAAGCATAGTGAATGGAATAGCATGTCGTAAATGAAAACTGGTCACTGTTGTTCTCGCAATGAGTACACAGGTATTACTATGTGTAAATCCAAGGTATATGACGACATAGCAAGAACATCAGAAAACGCTACAAAATCGGTGAAGTTGTTGTTGTTGAAATTTCGCCTTTTTTGTAGCTCCTGGCTTTGCCCTCACGTAAGTTCAACGTAAGTTTCGATTTCCCTGTGCTCAGGTGGAATAGTCAAACCACATCTGGAGCCGCTGCTTCGCGAATACCCAGCGGGCTCGAGCGTGCAATGTGTTTCCAGTCAACAGTCTGTGCTGCACTCTCTGGTGGAGATGACTTTGGTATCAGACAATCTGGGAAGAGTTACAGCAGACAGGAGTTCCGTGGTATGGTTTCCCATCAGGGACTCATATCGGATTATAGAGGCCTATTTGGCCTGCCATCTTCGAGCAACTTATATGGATAAATTGTACGGGCAGGTTTGGTTGATGGTACCAGTAAGAGTTCTAGGTAAGTTATCACATTCCTGTGAACGGGTTGGTGCATCTTGTTCAGTCAGCTCCGTTTGGATTGTAGGAAAAAATAGCGTGACAGTCACAACATCCAAATGGTCGATCCCGAAAAAAAAGCCAAAATGATTGGAGTCTAACATGTCGTTTCATAAAACTGGATCTAGTGGCTTACAAGAAGCACTCTAAAGTGCCTCGTGAAAAGAAAGGTAAAAGGTTTCGAAGAGAGGCAGGGTCGTTTCCTGGGTAGATTTGAATGTGGCTTATATAATCAGTACTTCCCAGGCAAGATGGGCTAATTGTTTGACATTAATCACTATGGCTCCACCAAAGATTCGAATTGTGCAACACTACACAAGTGCCACGAACGACTCGTTTCGATTGCCTGTCGATGGCCCAGAAACCAATGTGATTGAGTGGGTTGTGGTTGCCTGTGTCATAACAGTCTTGTTGCATAGATCCGACAGGGAGATACTGCGTTAACTAGATGTTACAGCAGCTACAACTTGGTTGGTAAAAACATGCGTAGTGAATAGCTTCAGTGATCTCAGGCGTGCAACTTAGAGTGCAATCTTCAGATTTGTTGGGTGTCTCCTAATAGTGCTGCTGAACCGTCAAATTCCAACAGGCTGAACGGGAAGTATGTGACTGGTGAACAACTGAATTGTTGCATCTTAGAGAAGTGCTGCGTGAAAATTTGGGTTCAATCTGAACATAATTTTGACTTGCAGCAGATGAAGCCAGTAAAAGTCTCATCGGGTCGTCTGGTTATGAAAACACCAAGTAGAACTTGTTATTACGCAACGAAGGGAAGTTGTGATACAAATGCCACTAAGGATCTCAGAAAGTAAACCATCTTTATATAAAAATCGAAGCATCAACACAGATTCCACAAGAGAGGAAACCATGGTTTGTAGTACTCAATGAAGCCAGAGCAATACTGATGACTTGATACAGATATAAAGTCAGAAACTCTTGGTTACACTGGAAATAACCCTACTAATTATGTAAAACGGAATAGAGTTTCCTATCACTTATTACTACTAGGCTTCCTTATGTATGTAGATATCTTGCGTTCGAGCTCGATGAAACCAGATGGAAAATAACATCCGGCGACCTCTGATTCATTGTCGGGACCTAGCGAGCCTCGGAAAGGCAAAATTGACAGTGAGCTTTTGAGGAGCTTCCTCGTATTGTGTCACAGCAAAGTATCAAGAACATTTTTTGAGAAATACACCCATTTGCAAATCAATTTGGTTTTCAAGAGATACTCATCTGAATCTCTCGTTTACGATATTCGAAGAGTTTTCAGCAACCTTGTAAGTAGTTTCCTCTATGAAAATAGTAAGAACATTGTTTTACATACTGCATTGGTGGATCAGTAGCCGGAAGATATACTTTGTCGCTCCTTTTGTAATTTGATTTCACATGACTCGCGGATGTAGTTCACTAGGATGCTTGCTGATCCAAGAGGTGACCAGTTTACCCTCGGACAGGGGGTGAATTCCGAGAGTGAAGCGCGCTGCGTTTCTGGGAGCCGGCATTTACTGTACACAAACGCTGTCTTCGCGGTCGACTAGGAAACCCTCAGGGTTCAATTGACTATAGCTCATTGTAAGATCTGGACGGTTATGGATCTCACAGGACGATTGTGACTATTAGATTATACGCAGTTCGTAGCCAGTAGTCAATAGGACCAGACAGAAGTGGGGCAGCAGATGGTATATTGGGGACTGACAGGAACTGGTTCTACAGATAAACGGATTAGTAAGCATCATGAATAAAGCAAACGTACAATTAATAATGACGCAGCCTCGTCAAGGGCTACCTGACAGGTGCGGTACATGGGTAATACAAAATAATAGGCCGCTGCGGGCGTCGCACTGGTGTAGTGAATGGCGCGTCCGCCTGCCGTCCAGGGGGTCTGCGTTCGATACCCGGTCTTTCCGTCGGAGTGGACGCTGGAAAATAGGTGCAATCGGGGCGAACTTGCAAGCAATAGCAGAGGGGCAAAAAATATTGACGTTGGTTACTGAGGCACAAGCGGACCCTAAGTAGGGACGGAACGGCGGGCAAACGAGAAGCGAGGAAACAAAACGTGGTCATAATAAACAGGTAAAAGTCACGTTACTTATGAGTAGTCAGATTAATTTACCGTGGTTCACCATTGATTCACAGGGGGAATCAACACTCATGATCCCGAAGTTGTTAATCGTGGACTGCAAATTTCTGCGAATTACTGCAGCCCGTGAATAGGCAAAGTGGATTTTTTAACACAAAAATTAGCTGAAATACGGTTTATGAAATCATCAAGGAGATATTGGCGATGAATTTGTAATATCCCACTGCTTCTTTGTCAGACTATTGTCTTTTTCTGACCTACCTACCTCGTTCGTGGAGAATTAGGTAAGAGCAACAGACGCCAAATATTCGGCCTCAGCATATTCATGTGTTTGTGTTAATCTCAGTTAAGGAATATCACACAGTGAATATTCAAATCCTACGTTTCATTTACACTAACAAAGCTCAGTGCATCACAATGAAAAGTACTCAAAAATTTCTCCCATTGTCGGAGAAAGTTTACAAAAATAAAACGTATCAACGTAACAGCTTCGCGAAGGAGACTGTTTAAATGTTGTTTGGTGACATTCCTGCACGAATTAGCATGAAGTGAGCAATGAAGTGAGTAATCAGGGATCAAGCTGACTTCAGATGACTAAAGGCATATCTTTTGTGAACATGAAATTTTATCCGTTTATCGGACATATACCATAAGATTAACTCATGGTACTTTTGTCCATCCTTGAAACGTAACAGCTCAACCAAAAAGAAACACTGTCAAAATCTGTGTGTTTCAAACATGTTGGTAGCTTTCATCTTTATCATCAATAAAATGGCTTCCAAAATACAAGTGTGTTTAAAGGTCAGTCATTTCAGCGCTTAACTTGACCTGATTTAAAACCGATTGCTTTTCAGCGACCGAGAGGCTTTTCGTCAGTCCGAATCCAGTAGTCGACGAGGAGGAGATAGTTAGCTGCAAAACGTTCTCTCCGATAAGTGAGAAATTCCCCCCGGTCCTCATTCTACCCTTCAGGATGGATAAACACATGCTAACACGCGAGGATGCCAGTGTCTACGAAGTGAACAATCAGATGCATTCTGGAGGCCACGTTTACCATTGTACACTGTTCTTACCCGGGAGAAGTCCACAAGTACTGGAGGATCGGATCAGTGTATTACGTAAGCGAAAGGGTGTCACGTTACCCAATTCTATAATGATCGTCCTCAGGGACATGAATCCTTGTGAATTGATCACTTGTTTTGCATTGCCTCACAAGCCCCTTGCTCATCATCATCATCATCATCATCAACATTATCAGCTGTAAGAACCGCGTACTTNCATCATCATTATCAGCTGTAAGAACCCGCGTACTTGCGTACAGTGGTTATAGCTGCCACAGTTTCGTTCGTCGATGATTTGAGGAGCAGGCATAGGTAGCTGAGCATCAAAGGCGGGATTTGATATCATTGATGCGTATATAAAGTGTATCAGTCCCCGTGGGCTTCATCGGGATTGGGAAGGCCAGAGCAGATTTCGTTAACCTGCATCAATTGTGGTCCGTCACGAAGAGACTGGACCTTACCGTGGTGTGGCGGTTTGTGTACCTCGG